TTTCCCGTCTCTGCTTTAAGCTCCAGGGTTTTCCCTTGCAACTTAAGGCCATTCATTCAGAGCTCTTGGCACTCAGACTCTGGGTACTTTACCGAGTGCAGTTCACCCTGTGAGCATATATCAAAAAGATAATAGTGCTTTGATTTATGCTATCTTAGATGATGCAATATACAATAAAATGTTCCGTCTTTTTGTTCTTGTTTTCATTTAAAGTCTTCAGGTTCTGATTTATACCAGCAATTCATCCACTTACAGACCTGTGATATATTTTCTGGATACACGTCCTGAGAATCAGTCAAATCCACTCATCAGTGTATTTAAAGGGAACGAGAACAGGGGCCCGAATCATCCTCAGATAATGGGAAACCACATGTTCTCCAGATATTAAAACATGGATCTATGTTAGAAATAGTATCGCATGAACGCACGTGAGCAAGAGTTAATGATGAAAATGAGAACTTTAAGAGGTCATGGGACCACTTCTTTGCTCCTGGCGTTGTTGGGACACTGTGATGAACAGGTGGTGTTTTTGGTTATTCTGGATATGAGCATTTGTCAAGGGCCTTTTGAATGTCTTGTAACTAGAGGTGGTAATACTGGCTGATTAATACAGTCTGTGTTTTTAAAGACATTTCACTAACAAAGACCAAGCAGTTTATTTGGATTGGCGATGGGATTCTGGTGGGATCGTGTACAGAAGGATGATGGGGGTCGTATACGGGGAGAGGGATGAAGAGAGTCGATTGCATTGGGATTAATGGACGCCGATTATATGTCATGATGTTGCCAGAGCAGCAAGCAACCCGAGACTCAGGGTGGGGATCTTGATGAGCTCATGGCTTCAGTGTCTCCTGTGGTTGCGGAAAAAGATGCGGATGGAAGTGTTAATCCGAAACACGCAGGTCTTGGTGGTGGGAGGAGACCCACGCTAACATGGGGAGAACATGCAAACTCCCCACATAAAGGACATCCAAGGTTCAAACTCAGGATGTTTTTGCTGTGAGGCCTCAGTACTAACCATAAACACTTGTATTATAAAGAGAATAAGACATGTTCTTACTGAAAATCTGCAGACTAAAAAGGTTGAAAATAAAGTTTTTGTAAACAAGGGGCCATTAGAATATAGGACAAATAGCAACCCTTTAATAGCAACCCTTTATCCATTGTACCGTGGTAGTTCCACTTTATTCAGCACAATGCGGTGAATGCAGCGGCCAAGAGAATTAAAATGGTAAATGCTGAATTTTCTGCTGTTTCAGCCTGATGGGACTGTGTGGAGGAGACTGCACAGCTTCCTGCATCCATCACGCTGTGTGTCTCCACTGCAGGCTGATGGTCGGGGTGTTTGGTTCTGAGCTGTTATCGTGTCACGTCGGGATAAATGTGGAGCAATATGAGGGCGTTAATGCGCTCCTGAGAATCCGCTGCAGTCAGGTGCATCCAGGCCTCGGTTTGCTCCGAATGAACCAGTTTGTGCAGCATGGCGTCGACCACATCGGTGTTTATAACTGTTCCAAATAGCAGAGGTGGGACCAAGTCAATGTTATAGTCACAAGTAAGAGTCAAGTCTTTGCACTCGAGTCCTAAACAAGTCATAATGAAATCTTCAATAATACATTATATATTAAAGAGGCCATATTATAAATAGGTTTACATGCTTTAGAGGTCCAGTGTGTAACATCTATTGTCAGAAATGGAATATAATATTCATTGGTATGTTTTCATTAGTTTATAATCACCTGAAAATAAGAATCGTTGTGTTTTTGTTACCTCAGAATGAGCTGTTTTTATCTATAGAGGGAGCAGGTCCTCTTCTTCGAGTCTCACAGCCATCATAGTTTCTGCTAAACACTCTAGATGCCACTGAATCCTGCACACTGGACCCTTAATGTTCAAAAAACTAGGAAAATATATTTTTCTGATGCTGTACATCAGAGCTTCTTTAGTTTTTATATGTATAAGTAGTAAGGTAACATTATTTCTCCCTGGTTCTGTCGGATTGGTTAAAGGAAATAGCATTTTCGTTTTCATTTTGACTTAATATTGCTGGCATAAATGGAAAATCTGATTACATTGTTTATATAGCATTTTCATGTTTAAATTTGAATTAACATTTGAATATAGTCCACTGCACAGCTGGTAATGACTTTGAAAAACAACTTTTCCATTTTCATTTTAATATGGTCACAGTGTCAGACACAAAGTATGTGAAAAATAAAAATACATTTTGAATTATTGCATTTTTATTTTCATTTTTACTTCAGTAACATTTGTGGAAAATTATAATGCTATTGTGGAACTACATTATCATTTGAATAAAGTCCCCTATAGGCTTCCATAATATACAGCTATAAACCTTTCAGTTTTCCTAAAGAATCAGACACAAGCACTTTACTCGTACGGCACCGATACCTCGGTTCTCTTTAAAGGTCCAATGTGTAGGATTTAGTGGCATCTAGCAGTGAGGTTTCAGATTGCAACTCACTCGTTTCACCCTCCCCTTCCAAGCACAAGGAGAAACTACCGTGGCTGTGAAACACGCGAGCGGTCAATCTAGAGCCGCTGTTTGGTTCGTCCGTTCTGGGCTACTGTAGGAACATGGTGGACTTCTGTGGATAAAAACAGCTCATTCAGAGGAAACAAAAACACAACGATTCTTACTTTCAGCTGATTAAACACTAATTAAAACATACCTATGAATATTATATTCCATTTCTGACAATAGATCCTCCTAATCTGGGTCTCTACAGCGTGTAAACCTGCTCTAGTAGCCTCGCTTTGGAGCATAATATCGACTCTTGTTAAAAAGGTATTGCATTTAGTTTAGAGCGCATTATGACTTGTTTATTTGAACTCGATTTATTTAGGCCCTCAAAGTACTGCTGGGAAATTCAAAATTCTTGTTAGAATAAGAATAGAGATGTTTTATGTAAACTGTATGAAAGAAATAGAGTAAATACCTTTCTTGGGGAGTAATTATATTTTTTAAATAAAGACTAAAGGGTAGTTTGGTGCATTTTTTTCCTCCAGTAAAGCAACATCAGTGACAGGATTTTTGCTGCAGCTGCACAGAGACTGTGGATTAAATCAGATTAACTCCTAACCCTGTTTTTGTGCGTCAGTGTACGAAGGTTTCTTCTTATAAAGTCACATGTAAATAAAGTTCCCTGCACTTAGGTATCTCTTGGTATGAAGAGATCAGAGAGCAGCTGGGTTGGCAGACATCGGTGTGCAGTACAGAGTTTACTGATTGACGTTTCGTGGCTTTATGGGAACTTTGGATCAGAACTTTTCAGCCTGTCGCCTCTCGCTGACATTTCGGGCTGACAGTATGCAGAGTTATCACATCTGCTCCCCTCAGGGAAGCGTTCAAGGTGCCTTAGTGTAGGTTAAACTGCTGTAGAATTAATTTATTTCAGCCAGTAATGAACACTGGGACCTGCTGTATACTGTACTGTCTGTTGTCTAATCTGTTAAAATGAAAACCCCTGAAATATTCTGGTGTACAAATGAGAATCAGCTGGAATGGTTTAATTTTGATGTGTTTAAGTTTGCTAACTTTGTTTCAAAAGAAAGGAAAAGTAGGCAAGATAGATTATTTAATTAGTTTTTATTCAGATTTTTCCAATAATGAATGACTCTGTCAGTGATTTATGAATTGGACTGTGAAAGACTAGCAAATGTTACACTGAATTTATGATGTCTGGAACGCCCATTCAGGCTCGGCACATACAGTTACTATATGCATCACACAATACAAATTGATTGATCGTCAAAATACGTCCATTAAAGTTGTTGTTTCTGCCACTGACCGGCTCAGATTGTTATTATAAGTGTCTGACAGCATTATGGAAAGGATCCCTACGGAGATATTAAGCGTTTTCGGCCCATTTTGCCTGATCTCGTCTGAATGGCCTCATCTGTGGGGAGTAACGGAAATGGCAGCAAAGTGCTCCGACCGCAGAGAGTCACAGCACCCACAGGAACACCAGCCTCCTCCTGAGCTGTAAATTCACAGGCTATTTTTGTAATTGTATTAATATTTCTATGTATTTAAAAAATACAGAAAAATCTGTAGGATATACGGGAGAAAAACCTTAAACTTACAGAGCTTTTTTACAGCTTAAGCAACAAGTGTCATTTAAAATAGCGTAGCTTTAGTGTACTATTTGACTTTAATTTGAACATTTCGGTTTTAATTTTGTTTGCAATAACTGTCCATGAATATTCATTGTTAATGTGCTGCTAAATCAGATTTCTCTCATGTCCACCAGCAGCAGAATTTCTACCTCTTTTTGATTCAGTTTCAACCAATCTTCTATTATTTAATCCTTTATTTAACAATCCTTAATTACATATTATAAATAACTTGTTTCATAATTGCCACTAGAGATATTAAGAGGAAAAAATTAAAATCACATTTTCAGAATGACTTTTCTGACTGAAATTGGAAGAATTAGTTTAAATGAATGAACAATATGGCAGCTGAAGGGTGAATCCTGGTTTCTGATTGGCCGTTGTAAGCGGGGGTGAGTTGCTTGATAAATCTTATTTGAGCAATGCACCGGCCAAAACCTCCAGTCCTGAGCCGACAAAGTCTGCAGTTTTTCAGCCCGACCCCGACCTGAGACCAACACTGATAAAGCTCTGTCTGCAAAAATACTCACACACACACACACACACACACACACACACTCACACACACACACACACACACACACACGATGGGGACAATAAAAGGAGAGAAGTTAAATGAACCCGAGTCCGACCTGAGCCCGGTCTGAATTAACTCAGCGTGTTGCAGACCTCTAAATCTTATTCTCACTTTCAGCTAAGAACTGTTATTCTCCCGGGTCGGCTTTTAGACCTTCTGTAATTCTGAGAAGTTTATTAAATCCGATTACTTCATTTTCAGATGAACTTAACCCCCCTACACTCTCATACCTCATGACTCATGCAGATATCAATGATTACACACTCATCCCCTCGTCTCTGTCCAGGCTGTGAGAGTGACTTCTGGGGGCCCCACTGCAGTAACCGCTGTCAGTGCCGGAACGGGGCCAAATGCAACCCGATAACCGGAGCCTGCGTCTGCACTGATGGCTACCAGGGCTGGCGCTGCGAGGAGCCCTGTGACGCCGGTTTCTACGGCAAAGACTGCCTTCAGGAGTGCCAGTGCCTCAACGGCGCCACCTGCCACCATCAGACCGGCGAGTGCCTGTGTGCTCCCGGATACACCGGAGCCTTGTGAGTAGCTTTGTGTTCACGCTGCTGAATCTGATTTATGTCTTCACTGGTGAACAGTTCTCTGACTTCTGAGTGAGAGATTTTACAAAATTAAAAATAGTACATTTTTAAGGCAAAAAGGAATATGCTACAACTGCTTAATGTAATGACTCATCTGTGTGATACATTATTAAGGTAGACCTAAATCTAAATGACATTTATAACATACATTTTACATTAGTAGGTTTTATTACATGAATAGGAAGGATGTATTTTTTAAAATGTGCGCGTCGTGCCAGTGTATCATGTGTGGATCAGATCATCACCACACATGGCCTACTTCCTATTGCCAGTAGTTGGTGATATCACTATGACTGTATATTGGCATGTCGACGTGTTCAGTTATGACAACATCCTGTTTCATGGTAAAACGTCAAAACCCGACGCCACGCCAAAGCCATGCTGTTCGACGTACAGTCATTTGTGTCTAAGCCATTTAGTACGGGACCAATAAAATATTTAAATTTTTGCTACCACCAAATTTTGTGCAAAGTTTCATGAGTTTTCGAGCAAATGTGATTCATTTGGTATTAAAATAATAATAATAGCCTGAGCAATTAAATAGAAAGTTCCAAATATGTTGTAATGTACTAAACCCAACGTTTATGTTTATTAAAAAAACAAGGAAGGGAATATGAAAACTCTTTTGTGTTCCAGTTTGGAAAACAGCAATTTCTCCAAAAGTTGTTTTCATACAATCAACAAAATCACATACTGGTGTCTAAAAATAAAATACTGCAACTAAAAACACTCAAAAACTACTTTTCAACCCAGTGAATCCAATCAAAGGTCACAGCTGCATTTATGGAGAAAATCAAATCTGAAAACAACCTTTGCAAAATATATTAGGATGTGACTGAGAATATTGTGACAGTTGAAGAAACAGAGAGAAGCTGTAAAAGTAAATATATGAACATGATTTTTTTACTAATTCCCAACAGTAGGAAATAGTTTAAAGTTTTTAGTTTCGCATGTTGACTTTATAACTCAACCTGGGATCATATTTAACTGCTGATTACTTTTTTCCCACCAGACTTTCCTTTATGGATCGTACTTGTTCCAGGTGTCTTCAAATGCTTTCATAATGGTCTTAAAAAGACCTTAAAAAGTATTAAATTGAACCTGTTGAAACCTGCAGATAAAAAGTATTATATTGCACAATACTCATACTTGTCCCTGTAGAAAGTAACACAACCTGAAAAATCGTAGAAAGAAAGAAGTTGCAATGTTTAATACCCAAAGTCAAAAGAAAACCTCCTCCAGGGACCATCTACTAATACTACTCTCTCTTTCAACACAATGACAACTGCTGGACTGAACTATGATTTCAGTTTTAAATGTTTACAAATCAAAATATGTAAAACATGGAATGTTTGTAAGTTAAGAAAATATATATGTTGTAAATATATGTGACCATAAGAAGCCTCCAACCTGCCATCTCCATGTATATAAAAGACGTGACTACCATTTTCTTTCATACAAGTCCACCAGGCCGAAACATTAGCAGGTTTGTCCGACACGGCCAAAGTAATAAATAAAAACTGAGATTGTTCAACTTTATCCTGGAGATCTGTGTGTGTGTGACCCTTTTTTAACCTTTGGGTGAAACTTCTATGACTTTGGTTTAGCAAAAACATGTATGAAAAGACACGTTTGATTCTTTTCTATCCACCCACTATGCATTAAGCATGTAAAGCGAGTAACAACACGATTGTTTGATTAGTAACTGTAACATGATTACTGAATTAGGAACAGTAATAGATTACAAATGTAATACTAGAGTTTATCAGCGATTACATGCTTCACTCACCTGTGTCTTCTGTCTTTCTCCTCCAGCTGCGAGGAGCCTTGTCCTCCAGGTAAACACGGCTCCCTGTGTGAACAACGCTGTCCCTGTCAGAACGGAGGAACCTGCCATCACGTGACCGGACAGTGCTCCTGTCCCGCCGGCTGGGTGGTACGACCGCAACACCAACTCATGTGCATGTTCACCAGAGCTCAGCTAACAGGGAGCTATTACAGCTGAGAGCAACATGTTTGTGTTTGGAGCTGAGAAGGAATATTTAGTACAGATATTTCATTTTACAGTTTTTAGTTCCCAAAGTTTAATTCACGGCAGGAGGCTGTGAAAACATCCTGAATGACATTTGGTATCATCAGTGGACGCCAATATAATTACTTCAAAGCTCACACTTAGGAAGCTCTCCAGGTAGAAGCAGTTTACTGCACCTGCTCTGTAAAAAAAATACTATTTTTTTTATTAAATTATTAAAAATATAACAAACAGCAAACAAATGATGAGCATATTTTACCGACAAACTACTTGCTGAAAGTTACAGTTCAGGATTTGATACCTGTACATAAAGCAGTTTTATCCACTTATTCTTTTATAGATGTTTGATTTTCCTGACCTGAACCATATTTTTTATTTTATTTAAACTCCTCGAGAGTATTTAGGTAAAGTTCTTATACAGCTGATTGGACAACCTTAAACACTGACAGAATGCAAAGTTTCTCCCATCCTACATATATTAACACACACGGACTACTGACTGGGGCCCCCCAAGAATAAACCATCATAGTGCTGTAAACTTATTTTTATTCAAAACATTATTAGTTATGTAATTAACATCATCTAAACAAAACATAACAGAAGGTTGTTATTTTAGGAAAGGTACAGTTCATTCAGTTCACAGAGCACATGAGGATATCTGAGTCTGATATGTCCGTACCCCCCTGATAGTGTGTGATACTTTTAATTAGGACCTATGGCACGAATAAAAACAGTTTATGTGCCATATGTGCAGATGAAAATTAGCCTGTATGGCTAAATCTGGCACATTTACATAATCAACTTAAGTCCTTGTGTGTATCCCTTTTTAACCCGTTTTAAATAGATTCAAACTTCAAATATAAAGTCAATAAACAGATCCCCCAGGACCCCAATACATTGGTATTTTTAAAGAGAACATATTAAAACAGAAACCGTAAACAATGATATAAACAATGATGGGCGATGGAAAAACTGGCATGGGCATTTTCAAAGGGATCCCTTGACCTCTGACCTCAAAGTATCTGAATAAAATTAGGTCTAATGGGTAGCAACGAGTCTCCCCTTTACAGACACGCCCACTTTATGCTAATTTATGCAGTTTTTGAGCAAAAACCATGAAGTATTTGAATATTTCTGCAGACTGGGTCCATAAACAGTGTTGGAATTGTATAAATTGGAAATGATCGAAACATTTAGACACATACTTAATACTTAATGCATAAGTCACTGCCCCACTTATGCCCCTCCAGTCAATAATAATAACAGTCCAGAATATGTGTGTATAAAAACTTATAAAGAAAGAAATTCCTAATCCTGGAAAATAAAAAAAAGCATCCATCTTTGACCGATAACAGGTTAATGAATTAACACTTTACATGTTGGATGTGCGTGTAAACATGATGGTCACGTGCTCTTCCTCCTCAGGGTCCGGTGTGCGCGCAGCCGTGTTCCTTCGGATCGTTCGGCATTAACTGCTCTCTGGAGTGCACGTGTCGTAACGGAGGCCTGTGTGACCACATCAGCGGTCAGTGCCAGTGCACCGCCGGATACATCGGAGAGAGGTACAGTATGAAAGTGCGAACATAAGATTATATGAAACTTTATCGGACCCCTCTGGGAAATTAGCTTGTTGCAGCTGCGGATATTAATAGAATTCAGCAGGGAGAAAGATAAATATGGGCACACAGTAGGATGTGTAATAAACAGTAAATACAGCAGGGAAACTGGAAGAAACACTAAGGCGGTAAAGTTGGCACCAATGTAAATATCCGACTGTTGGTAGGAAATACAGAGAAGGAGTGTAAACATTCATGTATAAAAAGTTTGACAGCACTTGTTTATTCCCAAACATCTAGCAGGTTTCTACATATAGTCCATCAGTTAGTCATGTGACTACACAAGATAAGTATTTAAAGGTTATATAGGACATTTACTCGCCACTAGATGTCGTATTAGAGCACCAACATCTCAGACTAAAATAATGGCCGCTACGGACCACCAGACTCCACTGATAAAACCTTGCAGATTATTGTGAAACAAACTGAACAGAAACTAAATGAAATTCACCAAAACCATCTTTGTTCATCACCAATTCTGGTTTGGTCGAAATAAATCCATCGTTTACAGCGTTAGATGTGAAAATATTTGTGAATCGGGTTGCTGTGGCTGCTATGTAACGTTAGCTAATCAGTGTCCATCCACTAACAGTAGTTGTTTCTGCCACTGACAGACTCAGGTTCAGGTTTTCAGGTTCTGGTTTGGTGGAAATAAATCCATAATTCACCGACGTAGATGATAAAAACAGCAGTTTCAGTCGGAGCAGACCGGCTATGGAAACAAACCACAGAGAGGCTGCGATACAACACAATCAGAGGGAGTGAGACTCCGCTGTATCTCTACATAACAAATGTTTGCTGCTATATTAATATTTTAAATCTCATATATAAATTAGGGCAAAAAAATGCCCAAAGAATTATATATATAAAAAAAGAAATAACCCATACAAGGCGACCTTAAGACATCCCTCCTTTAAGGCAGCGTTGATGGTCTCACCTCGCTGTGTGTGAACTGTGGAAACATCTGTGCCTACACAACACAAAGACTCTATGTTTAGTGGTAATGTTCTTCCCTCCTACTCTCTCCCACATACTAATGCTTTCCTTGTCCGTCCCCCGTCACCCGAAGTGGGACATTATAACAAAGAGTCATCTGAAATTGTTTTCCACTTTATTTCCTCCGTCGTCTCCGACACTGTTATTCGAAAAAGACTTTCTCCACCCTCCCTCCGGCCAGCTCCATCTCTCCCTTCCCTCCAACTCTGTCCATCTTCCTCCCTCGCCATCGCTCCTCCCAATTGAGCCAAATTACCTCCATTCATTCAGGCCCCAGACAGGTGAATTAGCCTACATGGAATAATTCCTAGATTGAGTTCTCTTCCACCCCGTCCACCCTCTAATGGAATTAGCCAAGATAAGAGTCCTGAGGAAGTCGGCGTGATTTAAACGTGACACAAAACAGAAATCCTCACTGAGCCATTTTAATTGAGTGATTTGTCTATTTCTTAATGGTTTCAACTTGCGGACGTGTTGAGAATGATGCAGAGACGTCAGCCTAACTTAGGCTTTAACTTTAAATAATTTTCTATTCAATTCAGTTCTGCCCATTCACTGGTGCTCATTATACAGACCACTCAGGGTCTGACGAAATGTGCAGCCCGGTGACCTTACGATGGTGGAGCACATGTCGTCTGTGAGGAAAGTGGAGCGGCTCCCTGTGAGTGTACGATAATATGACTCAGTTTTTATTGTGAGTTTGAAGAAGCATTCATCAGTCTTTGTATTTTAAATGTGTGTGTTTAAAGGAGGATTCGGGCCGTTGTGAACAGGAACGTTATTTTAAACATTGAGAAAATAACCAAAAACATACTTTCAGATATCGTCAGGTTTGAGCATGTTCTGTTCTGTTCTGCCTCTTGTGTGCAGAGGTTCCCAACCTGAGGGTCGGGACCCCCACTAGGGGTTGCCAAAGTTTCACAGGGCGGGTGCGAAGACTTCATGATTTTAAGGGGTGTAAGAAAACGTATAAAAATCTATGCTGTAGGCCTTTATCTCAGCATTTTGTTCATTTCTGTAAAGAAAACTAAATGAAATTGTCTGCTTAGATAGTCTGTATGACTGTTAAAAAAATAAATATATATAAAACATACAGAGAATTGTATTAAAAGTTCCTAAATATATCATTAAAACTCATCTCTGATCAATAGTCACGGGAAATAATCTGCTCAACATTAATCCAAATCTCTGGTTTTACACAAACGTCCTGCAGTTACTGTGTTCACTGTTTGGGTTCATTGTACAGCTGATCATAGATATCAGCACAGACTTTAAACATCTACAGCAGTAAAATGTAACGTACACATTAATACACTGTAATAATAATCCAAAATAGCACATATAATAGTAAAACGTACTGCACTATTAGTAGTTCTACTTTTGATTCTTTAAGTAAATTTTTCTGATATAGTACTTACTTTAGAGACTACCATTACATTGTTTACCATCATAGTAATTGTTTTACTGATAGACCCAATTATTAAAGTAAATATAAAGTTTGCACACTTGGTGCCTTTTTCTAAATGGACTTTATACGGCACTTTTATCCAAAGCACTTTACAAGTTCCCTGTTATTCGCCGATTTACCATCTGATCATCAGAAGCAATTGGGGTTCATTAGAGGACCCGCTTTACCTGCTGAGCCACAGCTGCCATTATTATTCTAAAGAATTTCACAGGAACATTTCTCAGACAGACACATTTTCCTCCGCTGAAAGGGTTCAAATGAGGCAGATATAATCACAGAGGACGTTAGCGATTAGTGAGAAATGCTCTGCGAATATGTATAAATGCATAAAGATCATGGATGAACCAGTTTTTAGATAAAACCAGTAGCATTGTAAGAAAGTCTGACATCATTTACATTTGAGATACACCTACAGAGGGAAAAATACCTGAAGCTGACATACATACATTAATAAAAACAAGGGACTGATCGATGTGTTGTTTCAAAGTCGTTGGTTCGGTTGGCGTTCTGACACAATTTGCATAAAAATGTTGTAATCTGAACTGATTTCTTCATAAAACTCCTTCAAATATTCATATAAATTGTACATAAAGTATCAGTAGCAGTGTTTTATCTTCTGACACTAACATCAATTGTTTTGGTTAAAAATACAGTTTGCATGAGAACTACATTGAGTTAGAGGAATGAGCTTTTCCTCTGCAATTAAAGTTGTTTTTAATTACCACTTACTAAATAATTTGTGGCATAAGCACAAGTTTTTAAGTAGATTAGTCGACTCATAAAAAATAACTTGTTCCAACTAGTTTGTCCACTTATTAATGTCAACGCAACTTAACAAAAATAACGTTTGCAACCTAAAAGTCTCGCAACCATCTACATTAATTTAAGTGCTGAACTGAATTACTTAGTACATTCACTCTTATTTAACTAGACGTAAGAATGATTTCCATTTACCCAACTAACATACAACAACTCATCAATTCTTAATCAGATTTAGAGCTCCACAGTTATGGAATTCATCTTCCTCACCAGCCTTTAAGACACAGTTAAAGAAGTTTCTCATTTCATCTTGAACCTTAAGCCAAGATGCTTCCTTGATTGTGTCTGTCTGCTTTTAGGTTTGTTCTCTTTCTTTTCTTTTACTGCTGTTTGTGTATGTTGTGTAGATTGTTTGTGCTATGTGTCATGAGCACTAACAATCTCTATTACAGTGGTTCCCAACCTTTTAACTTAATGGACCCCTTTTCTATCCAAGTAAACCGAGTGATTTGGATTAATTTTGAGCAGAATACTGCAAGGACCCCTCCATCGCTGCTCCATCGCTGCTCCATCGCTGCTTGCAGCTTTCATTTGTTTTGTTCTGTGTTTTTTTGTTTGTGTTGTTTTGTTTTTTCCTTGAATAATAATGCCATTTTCTACATTTTTATTTTGATAAAATAGAGGAAGACTCTGAATAAGCCTTTCAGACATCCTTCCTCCTTCCTCTCCATCCTTTGTATTATACAAATAAACTAAACTAGTAGTTCCCAACCTGGTCGCCAAAGCTTCACAGGGGTTCGCAATGCCTTCTTGATTTTAAGTAGTGGAAGACAACTTTAAAGATATACACAGTTGGACTAGATAAGGACACAGTGAAGACCTGAACACAAACTATAGCCTGATACAACCATTTTCAGTCATCAGTGAGAAGAAAACCCTGAATTTGTCAATTTATGTATATTTCATAATAAATATAATAATTACAGACAGAATTGTATAAAAAGTTACTAAAAATATCAGGAAAACTCATCTCTGATTAAAATTAATGGGAAATAATCTGCTCAAAATTCATCCAAATCTCTGGTTTTACACAAACTACCTGCAGTTACTGAGTTCACTGTTTGGGTTAATTGTTCAGTTTATCAGCTGTTCTCTACTTTTATTGTTACACATTGAATATAATATAAAATATTCATAAAATATGTCAGTGACACACATTTGATGCAAAAAAAAAACTGTGCAACTTGACTTAAAAATATGATTTTCTTTCATTAACTAGAGTAAAATGAAAACCAGTGTCCTGTAGAAGTCAGAACATTGTTAGAGAATAACTCATTCTAGCAGGTAAAGATTCACAGGAACTTTTAAAGGGGATGTTGGGCCGACTGGAAAATAAGTTTACCAACAATGTGCCTGGAATTATCTCTTATTTTTGGCTGCTGCCTATTAAAGAAACAACCTCGCTCATTCAGCAAGTCTAACCAGAAACACTCATTCAGATCTTCTTCTCACCGCTGCTCCGTTATTGTTTCTAATACCAACCCAGATGCCAGGATGAATGCCCAGTTGGCACCTACGGGCCGCAGTGCGCCCACAAGTGTGACTGTCAGAATGGGGCCAAGTGCTACCACATCAACGGGGCCTGCCTCTGCAACGAGGGCTTTAAGGGCCCCAGCTGCCAGGACCGCTTCTGTCCCACAGGCCTGTACGGACTCATCTGTGACAAATACTGCCCCTGCAAAACTGCAAACACACTCAGGTACTGAACAGAAACTATCTACTGTATGCTTTTCCACTGCACAACTCAGTATGAATAGAAGAAGGTTGTGTTTGAGTAGCTTGTTATAGCTGTCTTTGCACTTAAGTGTCTTTTCTTTTTGCACTTCTTCAATTACAATCCATAAAACCTTCCATGTGAGATCCGTACATCACAAACCTGTTATATTCCAACCAAAGAAAGTTAAATTCATCATCTTTAAATAGATATACAGAACTTAAAGTGTCTGCTTTCATTGTGTTTCCTGAAGGATATCTGCATATTAACGTGCCAGTGTGTAGGATTTAGTGGCATCTAGTGGTGAAGTTGCTGATTGCAACCATTTGAATACAGCTCAGCTTTTCATGCATACTTTGGGGTACTGCAGAGTATAGTTGCCTTTTTTTATACAAAAAACACATTTCATGTTGCAATTGTTGACTGACAGAGAATGACAAAGATCTTCAGTGAATGTTTCTCACTAAATTGGAGGTACAGCTTAAGACGCAGTTCAGTGCTTAGTTTTATTGCATGTTGACAAAATAAAAGGATTATATATTAATTTAGTGGAGTTTGAAGGACGATGCAGATGAATTAACATGAGGACTTAAGTCCACTATGTAAATGTGTCAGATTTAGCCACACAGGCTGATTTTCATCTGCAGGTTGATCGGAATAATTAAAAAGAAAACATACGAAAAGCACATAAAACATTAAACATCTGAAATGAAGAATTTATATGTTTATAAAAAGAACACTGGTGGTGCAGCGCTACGTCTTTATATAGGCTTTTATTTCTCTACCAAAAATGTTTTGCACTAGTCAGTGCAAAATAAATATTTAAAAGGAGGTACAATAATGAAAAAGGATAGTTTTTGTGTTCTACATGCAGATTGAAATATGCACTTTACTGACTGACTGCTCTTTCTCAGCTGTCACCCTCTGTCAGGAGAGTGCACCTGTGCGGCAGGATGGGCGGGGCTTTACTGTAACGAGACCTGCCCGGCAGGTTACTACGGCGAGGGCTGCAGGGAGCTGTGTGCCTGTGCCAACGGAGCCGACTGCGACGGCATCACTGGAGCTTGTGTGTGCGCTCCAGGGTACATAGTAAGTACAGAAACACGCCTACTCTGAGAGATAAAACCTGTGACGACCATCACACAGCCGAGGAGATTCATATCTGATGCTGAGAAAGCTTCCCAATTAGCCGAATCACTCTAATCGCTGCGCCGCTTTAAATTAACATCAGCAGTTGCAGGTGTTTCATGAGACTGCTTTTGAATACTTTAAACTGAATGTACAATAATGTAAACAGACCAATTAAATCATAAAAAACCTCTCAGGCTGCCTCATGAATCCTGATTATCAGCAGTAACTTGGACTTTGTTTCACAAGTATTTATTAATGATATGAGGACTGCAAATGAAAGTGCTTTCAGAGCAGAGCGACCGCCAACCACATCCTACAAACACGCCGAACACGCTGCAGGTTGCTGCTGTTCATCTACTGTAATCTCATCAGGGAACCAAGATACCAGTAAAATGAGTTCCTGCATTATTTCGCTGTGTGGTGTCTGTGGTTGCCATGGCAGCAAGTTGGAACAAAGTTCAGCCATCATCCACGTAGACAGCAGCAGACTGAGGAAACAATGGAGGCGGCGGCGGCGGCTGAAAGTGTCGTAGAGTGTTACTACAGCAACTCACATGTCCCCACTGTGGGTCAAACTTCAAAAGCCACTGGATCCCACACTTCCCATAATGCATCTGAATAACATCAATGAATGTGTTTGACTTCCACCTCCAGATTTTCTGTTATGAGATTTATAGTGATGCTGGTAATTTTGGCTCTTTTTATTGATCCAGATCACGTGGCTCAGCTTCCAAATGCCTCTTCATTAAGTAACACTTTTATTCTCCAGCTATGTCTTGCAGTATTTTAACCAATGATTGCTATGTGTGCTCATATATCACTTGAATTATTCAGTATAATTATACTGAATCTTATAATTTTCATCATTTTACATTATGCTTGGTATAAAAAACCTTCAATAATAAATAGTAAATGTAATGTTTTACTTATATTGAGCAATGTTTTGTGTGTCAGGGCTGCACACTTATTAAGTGCAATATGCAAATTGAAGAAGCTGAAATTATTTGATAAAAGTAAAATGTGACAAAACAGCTTTATAATGAAGAACTGTAGTGCTGCAGAGATGCTTGGACTACAAATCTTTTATATAGACCCCAAAAAATGTCACATCATCATGATTTTAATAGTTTTTTCAGTGAAAATTTAATTTGTGAGGCATAAAATAATCATTCCGCAAATCATATCACAATATGATGTTTTTACCATCATACAGCCCTAATGTGTTATGACCTGTGAAAGACTCAACATGTTTGGGTCTTTATGTTATTATTCTGGATCATATTTAACTAAAAAATAAAAATAAATTAAAGAATCATCCTATTAATATTTATTGTATTAGTTTAGAAAAAAATAAATCTGCTCTCCATCGCTCACAATGAACGTCAACCAATAAACTGATCCCAGAGTGTAACGTGTGAGTGGCCACTTTAAGAAATAAATCTGAGGCATTCAAAGATTATTGACAGGAAAACAGAAGAAAACATATTTCTGCTGCATAAAATTATGTTTATTTTATCTACAGTTTGCTTTTTGCCTCACAAGTGACTCTTCAAAGTCCCGCTCCAATAACAGTTGACCTGGCCTCCGTCAACTTCCTCATTTCCTGTAATTTTAAAGATGATTAAAGATAAAAGCGACAAACAATAGATCCTCCTCAACATTACACACTGGACCTTTAACATACGACTATAAACATATATAACTTTCATATTTTAACCATTTTACCAAAATGTGGTGCAAAAATGGGCAGGTCAGTTATTATTGGATAATGTTACTGTGATGAGGATTCACAGGTAGACGTACAGTAGTTTATTCTCAAGCTAAAAAGGTAAGAAACTATAGCGTGCAGTGGTTAAATGACGTTCTTGCTGCCCTTCCTTTTACACAGTTTTAACTGACCCACAGTTAAGCAGGAGACCTAATGAATCAACCACAGAGATAAAGTCCAGATCCTCCACATCCATCCAAAGCTTTACACTGCAGCCGCTGCTGGTACATCGGTGATACAGCGACAACGGGCACAGAAGCTTCAATGAAATATAAAACAAACTGTAAATCTATTCTATTCCCAAGTACATGAAAACAAATACATACAAAGAAAAATGAGTCTCCACCACACACATCTGTTAGTGAACAATGGCCCTTGTACAAGAAGCGATATATTAACACCAGTTTTCTCTCATTTTAGTTCATATCCATAATTTATTCTTATTTAGTTAGTACCTATTGAATTCTGGGATTCACTATTCACATTCAATGTTTTCTTCATGTTTTGTTCCTCTTTTCAATTCCATTAAATTCAGATTCAAACTTTATTGGCAAGTGTAAAATATATGTATATACAGATTAATAAGAAAGCAATAATAATAATGATAATAACTTAAAATAAAGTAGTGTGTGAGGTCTCTCTCTCTAAAAGCAAGGAAACATAGGTTTTACATGTGAGGAACATAAAAAAAAAGCGTAGATAAAAACATTTGATTACTATTTTTAGAGTAATTTTAGTGATTATCTATATCTCCTATCACGCCTCCAATTTAAGATCCAGTGGTTTTCATGATTCAGCTCACCTGGTGAGAGCAGGTTTGGATGGTTGAGAACGTTTGGTGCATCTGGAGTTGACTTTTCTTATATTAAATTAAGAGAACGTGTGAGAGAATTACTCTGGAACCGTTCAGCCATTAGCTCACTATCTTCGTCCTTACAAATACAGAAGTACCTGAGTCTGCTGAGGTTCTTTAGCGGGCCACCGTGTGAAGCTGATGGGAGCAGGCTTCACAGCCGCAGGTGCAGGACATGCTCTATAACATGCTGAGGTTAATTTATCAGGTGCTGTTGACTGTGCAGGTTTAGTCGTAGTGTTACGTGGTAATGAAAGGCTACTGCAGGTGCAAACCCCATGATATAGGTCAACCTAAAGGAGAGTGTGTGGATGTTGGGGCAGTGTTGTGTAAGCAGTAATAAGAGAGAGTGAATTTATACAGACCTTCTGTAACAGTGTTCACTTTCAGCCTCTGTGTGTTTGGACGTTCAGGAGGTCTGTGTTTGATTCACACTTCGCCTTTTGGATCAAGAATTAGTATTAGAATTAATACACATTAGGCTGGATTTCCATTTCTAACATCATACTTAACAAGAACATGCATACAGTTTCTATATTTAGATCTATTTATATCATCTTTGTTGTTAGCAGCCAAACAATAAATGAATCCTCTCTTCCTATTAAATCATTCTCACTCAAATCTTTGACCTTTGCCCTTATTTTGAGCCAAATGAAACACATTTGTAAAAGTGGAATTGTGTTTTATATATGAAGGGGTAGTTTAGATTTATATAAAACAACTAGAAACTACTGCAGGCAGGATTGAGTTGTGTTATGTACTGATGATGACAGGACACTGAAAGGGAATCATATCTGTCAGTCAGAGTATAAGAATGATTTACTGCACAGTTGTTTAGAGTTAAAACATTTAGAGTTAAAAGTAGAATCAGGATTAATGGTTTAGACTTTGTTGGCGGGAGGCAAGAAAATGGATTTAAAGTTAAAATTAGGATTTCAGATTTCTAGATGTAGGCCATGAAAGTGTTATAATATTACCACTACATGTAGCGTGTGTGTGTGTGTGTGTGTGTGTGTGTGTGTGTGTGTGTGTGTGTGTGTGTGTGTGTGTGTGTGTGTGTGTGTGTGTGTGTGTGTGTGTGTGTGTGTGTGTGTGTGTGTGTGTGTGTGTGTTCTGTGTGTGTGTGTGTGTGTCTGTGTGTGTGTGTGTGTGTGTGTGTGTGTGTGTGTGTGTGTGTGTGTTGTCTGTGTGTGTGTGTGTGTGTGTGTGTGTGTGTGTGTGTGTGTGTGTGTGTGTGTGTGTGTGTGTGTCTGTCTGTGTGTGTGTGTGTGTGTGTGTGTGTGTGTGTGTGTGTGTGTGTGTGTGTTTGTCTGTGTGGGTGGTTTTTCGGCTGGTGGGGCTCAGTGGCCCCCCGGCCCCCCTGGTGTGTTGACTGATCTCGCAGTGACTGAGCGGAGAGCGGAGATGAGACACCTAGGAGCAGAGAGATGACAGGGTCTTTGATAATTGGACCGAGAACATCGGGGATTTTCAGCAGATGAAAGTAGGATGAGTGCTGGAGACGAATGTCCGTTTGGTTTATAGCAGCTAAACTCAGATAGATGTTGCTCTCGGTGGAGTGTTATTGATTTAAACTGAATTATTGCTGCGCTGGTAACTCGCAGTTTGGTACTCTGTGTGGACAGCTTTAAACAGAATTTATACGCGGTATTGTCACCGCTGTGGGCAGTTCGATCGATACCTGTAAACACGTGCAGCTCTGCTTGGAAATCTGCAGAACCACAGTACTGATCTGTCGGGAGGAACCGTCAGCCGTCACGCTCCTTCAGTCTTCCCCCGGTCCAACTGGCCTTCATTGTGCCACCTTCAGTGTGGAATAAGATACATGTTGCCCCCATGCTGAGGGACACAAGTCAAGCGGTGGGGGGGCGGGGTCCTTCCCTGTGAGATTATTTATGTCAGACACTTTTATTCTGGTGAATTTTTATGCAACAATTTGTGCTTTTTTATGCATGAATTTGCATGAAGTCCTCTGTCACTCTCAACATGCATGTAAAGCAAATAAAGAGTCAATAAGAGTCGGACCATGGGAGACAAAGAGAGCTCGGCAAACACAGGGACAGTGCATTTTCTTTCTTTCAACACAGGATGATCCCCTATTGTACTACCATGTCATGGTCATCTCACATCTCTGCCCTGGAAAAGAAAGCACAGACAGGAAACTGAAGAAAGCAGAATTCCTGTGCCAGGTTCTTGTTAACTTTGACAAAGGAGTGATAGAAATCATCCTGACTGGAAACATCACAAACCCTGCAGCGGGTGATTACAAACCCCCCAGAAGATCGCTGCTACTCAGCCGCCCAGCATCCGTGATGTTGGTGAGGTGAGGTACCTGCAGAGCCCCAATGATCCTAAAAGACAGCAACCACCCACAGCCTGTTCGCCCTGCTGCCTTCTGGGTAGAGCTACAAGAGCTGCTGCTGCACCACCAGACTCAAAGACTGCTCCTTCCTTCAGGCTTCATCATGCAAATTAATAATCATTTATATTTTTAATCATTTTTATTTTGTATTTTTCTTGGATTACATGTAACTGATGTACGTAACATAATCAGGATACAAAATAAGGTACAATTTAAAAATGCACTAAAGGCACATTTTCTTTTCTAAGGTTACAACTAAAAACATTCTGGATGAAGTAGCTTTAGTAATTTTAAATGACGCTGACTGAACTTAACAAAGTAAACTACTTAATCAAGCATGTTTCTGTACTAAGTTAATGTCACTTAAAATTACCTGCTTAACTTCCAAAATTGAGTTTGAGTTACTTAAAATGAAAAATGTAAGACTTTCACTTGTTACAGCAGCTCCAGATACAACACAGCAGATAAGAAAAGAAGAAATGCACATTAAATAACAAAATAATACAAGCAAAAATAGAATTAGGGTTGTATGTACAAACTATATACAGTATTACTATACAGATTTAAAGTTCAAATATAATATTGCACAGGTTACAGGAGGAGGTAGTGGCATACTGAATAAATAAATACACAGGACACAAAATATATTATACAGCAGTGATATTAACAGGTCTATGAACAGGTCTAAAGAGCAGTGATATAATCTGTCTCATTGTTTTACAGCCTCTTTGTGATTACGTTTGAAGGAAAACTGTTGACCTGTGCTGTTCTTTGGGGCGTTATGTTACATCGAGAGGTAGAAACACATCCTTGGTTTTTGTGACCTTCATCTAACCAGGGAAGTTCTTCTGAGAGCAATCCTCTCTCCACACATTCACACCTGGAGGCTGGATGATGTGTATTTTTGGCCATTACTATCCAAAGGATGTGAGAATGTTATAAACCTAATGACCTGGTGGCCTAATAATTCACCTCCACTCCAGTGACGAGCACGTAATTAAAGTTATCTTTCATCTTTTGATTGAATTTATCTTCTATGTAATCCTCTTTGAATGCAGTTTTAAGAAGAAAGTGAACTGGTTTATTTATTTATTGGACAGAGACATAAAAGCAACAGGAGGGTGAAGCTCCACTCAACCTCTCTGGATTCATAATGATAAATATCAGGATCCATCGATCCATGCCGATTTATTATTCCAGAGGTCACTTGTTAGAACTTCCCCTGGGAAATTCTGATGATTCCCTTTATTGGGCTCACACACGTTATTTATTAACAACGGTTTTTTTTTCTTTTCTAATTCCTTAAGTCCTTAATTCACCAACTTTTTAATAAGGCTTCTCTCTTCTCCTGTCTTTGCTTTGTGAATATTAGATTAATAGCGATTCAAAGGCAGCAGGTTGGAAGCAGACGGCTTTAATTAGCACAGTTTATATGTTGAAGGTCCTGATCAATGCGACAGCGTGCTGGAGGTTCAGGTTGTGTGCAGCTCGTTGTCACAGCACGCTAACGGTGCAGAGTAAGGTTACTCATTCTGCTAATGCCAAGCTGTCCTTCTGGCTGGTCTGACCATGTCCTCCACTGATTGGACGAGCGCAGACATCATGTCTCTCTGCAGGGACGCCGGCGGTGATGATCACCTCTCTCCTCCATAATACATGCGCTTGTTTGCTGCATCCCCGACATCAGGTTTAATTTTAAAGGTGAACTGTGTTTCCCTGTTGAGCGGCAGGTTGGGGGGAGATGGTGGCGAGAAACCTGCTGTCAGTCAGGTTATTCCTAAAATTCCACATGTGGGTTGCAGTTCTCATGAAACGCCTCTTTACATAGATTAGTTATTAACAGTTATCGGCACACTGCATGACAGGAGGGAAACGTGTGAATTAAACATATCTTCACCACTTTACATTTATTAATGTAGCAGACTGACAGCTGTGGAGTAGCACTGTTCACATCTATAAAATATGAGCCAATGTATGGTGGGATTGTTAGCAGTGTACATGCCACAGACAGTTTTTGAGGCAATATATAGAGCAGACATTTCACATTGAGAATTCAACTCAAATAATATGCTGCAGGGTGAATGTAGTGCACTAGTTAACAGGGAATACAGCCGACAGTAGCGTGTGCTTCCATTGTGAGTTCCTCCTGCAAACCTTTATTGTGTTATATCTCTATATTTGTATTTATTTATGTGATTTAACTAACCAGGTAAAAACAAAACAACTTTGCGTGCACGTCAACTGGTGAAATCTGATTGGCCACCCCATTATCCTAACCTCTTCCACTCGTCTTTCAGAGGCTGTGGCGGGCTGTCTTTTAAAGCTAGAGTGGAGATACTGGTATCGTATGAAACTAAATGACCGACTGCACCAATTGGTACCGGCTGTGTCTTGCTAGCATGATAGGAAATAAGATAAATAACGATCCAATGTTAGGCGACATTTTGCCGATGGAAAAACCTGTATGGCTACTTTCACAGGGATCTCGTGCCCTCTGACCCAGTGGCGTAAGGTGATGCAGTTGTATAAGGGTCTGCAGCAGTTGAGCGCCCGTAACTAACCAGTCGTATCTGCACTGCTGCTGTTATGTCGATTGATGTGAGCTGAACTTACATCAATCAATTTAAATGATGTAGGTATTTATAGCAGTCAGTGAGCTAAGGTCAGTGACTTACTCCATGGTGTCCTCCACAGTACATTTATGTTGTACAGTAAACAATCTACACAGGAGTGTTTCTTGTTTATAATGCCTATAAATCATCATTTTTCATATGCGTCACTAATAGGATCATGTTTTCATACGAGTGAAGGCGTGTTTTAATCTCTAATGGTGCTCCATGGTGAAGTAGTCTACTGTCACAGCCTCAGCCTTCCTGTTATGACTCATCTTCTGTAGCACTGCTATCTGTTTTCATTCATTTAGGTGTCAGCTGTGCTGTGCATTTCACTGTTACTGGTCACTTTAAAGCTGCGTGCTTTCACTTCTTTAATTCACCAGCGACATTACATCATGTTACATCTAATTGTGGTGGGAAGGCCCGCTTTGATCATCTGGCGCTGGGGTCCCGCATTGACTCGTAACGCTGCTGCTCAGAAAAAGGATCTTATGGGCACCCATGAGTCTCACTTTATGCTAATCTAATGCAGTTTGGGGCAAAAACAATGTTAATATCCATAAACTGTGTTGGAATTGTGCAAATTGGGAATGAATGGGAAGCTGAGACACTGAGATACTTCATGCCACCCCTCTAAAGTATAAAGTTACAATATATATTCTACAGTATATACACAAAGAGAAAAAGAATAAAATATACAGGGAATGTTCAACATTTTAAAATTAAAAAAAGATAATGATCCTTTGCTTCGACGATGGATTTGATGTTTATGGTTTTAAAATATACGTTGCTAGAGTTGCAGTTGTAGTGTGTGAGCATCAGTTTGAGTGTCTCTCTGTCTGTCCTTTGTGTCCAGGGGGACGACTGCTCTATCAGCTGTCCCGCGGGCCTCTACGGGACCAACTGCACCTCCTCGTGCTCCTGCCACAACGAGATCTCCTGCTCGCACGTCGACGGCTCCTGTATCTGCAGAGAAGGTTCTGTTCACCTGTCTGATCCCGCACTACACCGCGACAGAGCGTTCATTCATGATAGATTTCAGGAGATATTAGTGATCTGTTTCCCATTTTAGTGAACGTGTTAAGTTCCCCCACTAGGGGTTGCCAAAGTTTCACAGGGGTGGTCGCGAGGCCTTTAAAGACTTTAAAAGAAATACACAGTAGGCCGATATGTCAGCATTTGGTTCATTTCTGTATGAACTAACTATATGAAACTGTTATTTCTAGTTTAGATTATTATTTAAGATCTAAACTTTGATCACAATTTATATTCACAGAGAAGAAAACACTACATTTGTCCAAAAAGGAGCCTATTAAATATGTATGGAAAACAAAAAGCTAATAAATAATACACAGTGGTGGAAGAAGTAATCAGATCCTTTACTTACCTGAAAGTACCGATAAAACTGTACAAATACTCCATTACAATTAAAGGCCTGCATTCAAAATCAACTACAAACAAAATAAAATAAAAAAACAGAAACAAATGTATGATATATATGTGACATTATTAGATTGTAAATACTGATGCGTCAATGTTAGAGCAGCTTTTTACTGTTGGAGCTGCTCCAGTTGGTTACATACAGTTTAGTGCAGGGGTTCTCAACCTAGGGGTCCGGCCCCTCCAAAAGGGTCACCAGATAAATCTGAGGGGTTGTGAGATGATTAAGGGGAGAAGAAAAGAAGAAAAAACTAAGCTATGATCCATACGAATCTGTTTAAAAAGGTTCGGAGATCTTCTGGGTGACATCTTGTCATTGACATCGTTGAGGGCAGCTTTCTGTATCAGCTGTATCAGCTGTCATACACACCGCCGCTGGAAAATCTCCATACAGAGGTTGTCAAATCAATGACAGCTGGATCAGTTTATGTAGGTGTAACTGCCAGAAATGGCGTCTTTTGTAGGTATCAGCAGCTCGTTGATGCTTCTTCTTTCCTCCAAGATGTCAGATTCCTGATATCTCTGATAACCTTGGCGGCAGTAGCTCAGTGTGCAGGGACTTGGCTTAGGAACCGAAGGGTCGCCGGGTCAAGTCCCACAGAACACAAAATATGGAGTGTGGACTGTGGCTGGAGAGGTGGCAGTTTCACCTCCTGTGCACTGCCAAGGTGCCTTTGAGCAAGGCAACCTAACCCCAAAACCTGCTCATGGGGTGCTGTGAACGTGGCAGCCCCATCCCTCCACCATCTCTCTCCCCTTTGCATGTCCACAAGTGCATGATTTGTGCATTTCAGCCTGTGTGTGTGTGTGTGTGTGTGTGATAAAGAAGAGTGAAAACAATTTCCCCTAGGGGATCAATAAAGTATATCTTCTTCTTCTAAAGGCAGAGCTGTTGTCAACCGGCCAACCTGACAATCAGAATCAATTAGTTTCTTTTAAAGTTGGACATATAAATACAGCAGCTGTAATTCAACAGCACAACCTCTGTTGTAGCTCTATCACTTTTTTTCTTCACTGTTGTTGGAGTCGTCTTCGGTGGATTTGTTCCTTTTTGTTTTGCTCTTTATGTCGGTGGATCTCCCACCAGATCTCACACATATACTGTAAACACATTAAATGGAAGCCTCCATTATACCTGGAAACATCTGACTGTGATATAACCATCTTTTATTGATTTGTTATCCACTAAGAAATCTCCAAAGAACAGGATAAGGTGTTTTGTTTCTTACAGAGTTAAAGGGTTTTTTTTCCACTTGGTGTTTTCTGGCAGGATTCGTCAGCCGCAGTAACCAAGGAGTCTGAAATCGAGGATTTTAACTGTTTTACAAACTGCTGTCAGTTTGGTCTCAGTCCCAGAAACGTCTCTTAGCTCCATAGCTGCCTTTCTGCTTCCTCCTCTGAGGAACAGTAACATCTTTCAACAGCTATTGCTTCATTTTCACCTTTGTGGCTCTTTACTCGTCTTCTTTATTCTCTCCTTTAGAGCAGAAACTTTTATAGAAATGAGTTAGTGAATCAATGAGTCGATCAACAGGAAAATAATTGAAGTGATTTGATGATTGATTATTTGTCTCATTTTATGCAAAAATGCCAAATATACCCCAGTTTCAGCTCAACAAGTAGAAACATGGCGGTTCAACAGGCTGGCTGCCACAGAGGAGCTGCTCGCTCTGTAGATAAAAACAGCTCATTTTAAGGTAACGAAAACAAACCATTCTTATTTTCAGGTGATTATACACTAATGAAAACATACCTCTGAATATTATATTCATATTTTCTGCCAGTAAATCCTCCTAAATGTTTCACACTGGAGTTTTAAATCGACAGTTAGTCAGATCAGGAGACTTTAGTAAGAAAGCTACTAAAGTTGTTGTTCAACCTTTATGGCTCTTGTGTTTCACCTCTAAACTTCAGACATTGTTTCATTTAAATAACTGTTTGAGGCCAATTAATGGATTTCACGTCACATCTAAAAAGGAGAAAACAAAAGCACCACACTTAGTAAAGCTATACTCTATATAAGAATCCATCTTTACATAGTAAACAAGTACATGTGTACTTCAAGCTTAGCCAATACATCTCTGATAATCCTTCGTTAATGAGTTCAGACTTCACTGGAATCATACATATGTATCAGCGCCTTAATAGCTGTTACATACTCCCTTCAAAGTCTTCACTACATATATTATAGAGTCTAACTCGACTCAGAGGAGATACTTTACTGGTTGACAGAGGCATACAACTCTACTAATACTACCTTATTTTTTGATTATGTTTCAGTTATTGATCGATCATTTTGGTCGTCTTCCCAGCCAGAAACTCCTGACCACCCAAAAAAAGCACCTACCTTAATAACGATCTCCAGAACTTTGTCTTGTTTGGTATTTTGTTCTTTACTTCACTTCCTTAATATCTCTCAATATCAGCATCTTTAAATATTAATGCGCTGCCGAACCTCGTGGGGAACATGGGTAATTAAAGTGGAGAGACATCTGAGGCACAGCGTAGGACCGGGGGCTTGAGAGCTTTGGATAGCTGTCTTCACCCTGTAAACCCTTATTCCCCTTTTTCTTCTAGAGCCACTGAGGGGAAAAGTTCAGCCTTATCAAACATGTTGTTACTATAATGTTCTTCATGCTAGATGTTTGTATAGCATACAAAGCATAGCAACATCTGATCATCTATACACAGTTCAGAATATGATGAAGGCTCCTAAAGGGGCATAGAGAGGCATCGGTGGCTGCATATCAAAAGGATATTTGACACATTTTTGAGACATGATGCATCCTTGCATCCTGCATCTGCTCGTGGTGAAGACTGAAGGAAGGAGGGAAAATCAGGGCACTCATAACTCCAATGCAATTTTTAATTTAAAATTCGAAGCATCAGCGTTTCAGCACACGTTGCCTTCCTCAGGACAAAAGCCAGTAATCACTGAAATGAGATAAATACAACACAGGACAAAAAATATATGAAATGCAGTGCAGAGAAATGTCCACGTTCTTTTTAGGGCCGTTTTTTATGCCTTTATTAGATAGCAGACAGTTGGAGGGATGGCAGGAAATGAGAGGAAAGAGATGGAACAAAGGCCACCAGTGTCTCCCAGTATGTCCACATTTTAAGAACCAGCAAGTACAAAATAAACACAAAAGATACAAAAGATAAATATATTCATTCAAATAAAGACTAAATATAAGTCAACAAAATAATATATTTTCTCATATTTGAAAACTCCACTTGTGGTGGCATAAAACAAAGTATCTGCATATAATTGAATTGAATCATAAGGGTCCCTGTACAGTTACTACACTACACTACAGTTTTCAGGATCAATTGGGTCACATTTTTATACTTATGTAATAGTTTCCATCAGTCCAATTATAAGAATATATAGTAAACTGCTGAAATCTGAGGAAAAAGTCAATAAACGGGTCCAGAAACACGAACAATCAGATCATCATTTGTAGTTTTTTTATACCCACACATATACCAAGGGGAAACATTCACCATTCACCTATATGGCAGCTGGTATAATGATGATTCTAATAAAAGCCAAGTCCCAAATAGACACAGGTCTCCCTTACTAGCCTAGTGCGGATTTTATAGAAATTATCTGGATGTTAAAAACCTCTAAAATCCCACCAGGTCGAGTTTTAAGCTGCTTAGATCGCCTACACAAATATAAACCTTTGTCAATATGGATGTGTATATTTTTGAACAAAGTTTTCTGACCCCTAGTGGGAGTCCCGACCACCACTGGTTTAGATAATCTGGATAAAGTGTTGTCTTGTTTACAACCTGACTGCTCATGTTTCTAACCCTGTGTGACAATTGGGTGTTTATTTTACTGCAATTTGTCTATTTGCGTCGTAGATTTTACCAAAAGTTAGCATTAATTTGAGATTAATGAGATTTCTGCTCACTTAAATCCATGCAGTGTATCACTTTATTAACAGACTGAAAAGCTTCCTAAATAAAGTGAAATATTGGATGAAATCTGCGAAAATCTTGAGTTTTAAGTTTGGACACGTTGACGCTTCCAGCACCTCAGGAAATATTGATTCCTCTCTATATTGTGAGGGTTTTAACAGAAGGGTTTGATTATATATCATTTACAGCCTGATTTAATAATAAAATATCAAATTTTATTCCTAAAAAAATGCCAAAAATAGATTTTTTTGTTTAGAAGTTGTTGTTTTTTTTGGCCTTTTCATGGCTTTATTGGATAGGACAGCTGAAGATCGACAGGAAAGGTGGGTAGAGAGAGAGGGGATAACACGCAGCAAAGGGCTGCAGATCAGATTCAAACCCGGGCCGCTGCAGCAACTCTGTATATGGGTCACCAGCTCTACCGACTGAGCTAACTGGGCGCCCCAAAAAACAAAAAGGTTTTTTTTATGGCTGCTGACAGATTTATGGAGTGATAAAGAGATAGAGACCTGTGACTCTAACATGTCAACAAAATTAAACAAGGATCTTGAACTGATGTTCAGATTCTAGAAAATGCAAAATAGTTCATTTTAATTAAATAATACTTCATTTGCATATTTAAACATTTAAGAAAACTTGTAACACAAAAAATAATCTTAATGCAAGTGTTCAACAGGGAAAGTTTCATGGTTATATATTTTAGCTGAAATCAATTCAACACTATGAAAAAATGAATTTGAAATGATCCAGAATTTTAATTTACATGAAATATTAAGTAACAAAAATGATCCAAAACCAGAGTTAGAAGATGCTTCACAGGTGCATATTACACACAATAAGCGCTTCAATATGTTGGTGCACTGATGGTCTTGTGTCTGTGTCCAGGCTGGCAGAGCGTGGACTGTTCCATCCCTTGCTCCAGCGGTATTTGGGGACTGAGCTGCAATCAGACGTGTCAGTGTGCCAACGAGGCAGCCTGCGACCCCGTCAACGGGACCTGCACCTGCTCGCCGGGCTGGAGGGACGAATACTGCGACGTACCGTGTCCTGTGAGTGCTCATGGCAGACATTAGAGTGTGATACTTCTCTAGCATGTTGCACAGAATATAATTTATGATTTAAGAGATAGTTTTGTGTTACAGTGCAATGTTTTTTTGTCCGGTGTGTTCTCGCTGTCGTTAGGAGGGATCGTACGGGCTGGACTGCAGAGAGATGTGTGACTGTGTCAACGCTGATGGCTGTGATCCAGTGACCGGCTTCTGCCACTGTCTCGCAGGTTGGACAGGTGAGTTATGCAGCTTTGGAGCTCCTAAGCACTGCGACTGGCAGAGTTCAGGCTTCTGGAAACAGGAATGAGGACCCAAACGCAGCCACAGACTCAAATGAGTAAGAAGCAGTTTGTGAAGTTGACTTATGACTTCTGGCTCGCTCAACTGTTATTGGAGCGCAGATATTTGCTTATATTCAAATACATATATTCCTCTTATTTTTCTTCTTTATGGGACAAAATGGAAGACAAATGTCTCATTTCAGAATTACAGTCATTGTGTTTATTGTTTTTCTAACAGACACAAAAGACTTTCTGCCGTGATTACCGTAGACCTCGCCCAGTTGAAGCTTAATTATAGCTGAAAAGTGCTTAATATCCTTTTCTTGTGTGTTCTTGAGACAAATGACAAATGGACAGACTTTTATCCAACTTTTCTTCCTTCCTATAGAATCCAAATGTCTTCCAAACTTTAGATTTTAGATTTGATGGTGCGCTGTAAATCCTGTCGGCATTGTCAGCGAGTGACCTTTTACCTTTTAGGAGAGCAGAGACGCTGTTAGCAGCAAAGCTTCAGTCGACAGATTCATAACTTTAGAATCGGACCATCGACCGGTTCATGGTACATTTAGATCCCCATCATATTCTAAAAAACTGTCTAAATGTGCATCTCTGAGAGTTATTGTGAGTTATTACATTTGATAAATTGAATGCGTAACCATTCCATAAGATGGACAAGTGAGATGACCTCAATATTGATTGTAACAAGAATGCATAACGTACCGTATAGCCTTGAAGAAAGGGTCTACTTTCTGTTCTGAAAAGCTTCAATAACTCTGCTGGTGTAGATTGCCTTTTAGTCCGGCCTTTGGAGGACAGACCCTTCATGAGCCATATCCAGCCCCTAAATTGAAGGCTTAGAGGGCAGGCGAAGCAGGTTTGGAAAATACCAGAAGTAAACTCTCTCAGAGGGAGAGGGGAGACAGTCTGAGGGGGGGGGGGGCAGCATGACGAAAACGGACACTACAGATCAATATGACATTCAAACCTCTAATTCTAAAACTGATGGAGATTCAGGCTTGGGTGAGTTTGACAGCGCGGCTCTCTCAATAATTCAGCTTCACAAGAGTTCCCCGTGGATAAAGCACCTTTCAAGTGAGACTTGGCTTCGCTCTTAGACTCTCGTGTCCCGTGTGATTTTCACGGGAGACTTTATGTTATCCTCAGCAGTGACAGCGCACCTCTTTACTTTAATAATTGTTATGTTCAAGTTGTAGCTCTGCTTATCTTCCCCGCTAATCGCCCATCGGTAGAGTCGTGATCAGCAATGATCAATATGTGAGCTTATGAATATGAAAAGGCGCCTTTTAATTCGCTGCCAGAGGGAGAATTGGTAATGAATTGTCTTTGGGAGGAACTTCAATATATTGGTGAATATTTAGACCAAAAGTTAGAAGCAACCAAATAAATTTGATTTGAAGATGTAAATAAACTCGAACAGGTAGCTCTCAGTAATTACAGCTGAGGCGACGACTGAATGATAATCAGTCCCGTGAGATAATACAAGTGTTTTCATGAAGCTGGAATAAAAACACAGTGAGTATCAGCTTAAACCTCTGTGCAGCCCTCGTGTTCTGCTAAAGACTTCCCCTGTGATCCATTATGTTCCCAGTGGGTGAAAAAACCCAATAAGATGATATTAAACAGTGAGCACAGAGTGCAAATGTTTTTCATTTAAATTTACCCAAACTGAAAATACTTAATTGAGCTGTCTCTCTGGTGGAGAATCTCTGTCTTTATTGGTGTCTTCCTTCAGTGACGTCGTTCATTTACATGAATTTCGAGCTTTTGACTTTTGTTAGATTAGACAATTTACTTTACATTTACTTTTCTTCAAAGAAGTGAACCAAATATTGAGCTATAGGTCTGCTGTGTATATTTTTAAAGTTTTCTACTCTACCTGTAATGTCCCACGATACAAAGTGCTTCTTCGTCCTCATTGGTTTATGGAATTGGGACACAGCATGTGTTTATGAAGAGGACTCAGCGGATTAATGTACTCGCAGCGCTGCCAAAAGACTGTAGTGACTTTTCTTTTGCATAAGTGTTTTCCTTCATTTGTTTGAGACTGTATCTTTCCTGTAAGTGTGAGCGCCAGGTGGACTGAACTGGGTCAGAAGCATTAATATCAGATTTTTACATTTTCTCTCAATGCTGCTGCCACTTGGGAATTGAATGCTAGGTGTTAGCTTAACGCCAGGCTCTGTGGGTAACGCAGAGCTACACAAATTTACATTTGGCCCTCTTCTTCTGCTTCATCCCATCCTCCACCTCTCTTTCCCTCCCTTTGTTTTAACTTCACAGCCTAACGAACAGACTGTTTCACCCACTTTGTGGCTCAGAGGTAGTTTATTAATTGAGTTATAATGGCTGCCTGTGCCTCACTCTCATATTCTCTCATATTCGATGTCAAAGGAAGTTTCTAATGAGCTGCAGACAGGAGAACGGAGATACACTGTATTTGCACATACACTATTCTTACTCTGTCGGTTCGTCCAGCTTTCACTTTCTATATTTAGATGTGATGGTAAGATTATTCCTGTGTGTGTGTGTGTGGCTGAGTGTAAGTAAGAATTAATGTAACGCAGGTCTCTCGGGCCCTGCAGTCTCCAGACTGTCCCTTGTGAGCAGCGAGGGCTCTGATCCGTTCTGCAACCCGGCTCTTGTGTAGACAGACTGATGCCTCTTAGGACACACGCACACATGCAAGACTGATGAAAGAAGGAGACACTTCAGCGAATGATTAAAGGGCAAAAAGTCTCGGGCAGAATTTGGGGAATTTAGTTTTTTTTGCCTTAAAATGTTTGTTAATATAAACTGACATTTATTAATACAGTGCAAACACACTGAACACTGATACTGTTAGCTACTGTGATTATTTCTGATTGTCTGGAAGTGTCTTAAACATGCATTCTTTCTAATGGCCAACAGGGGGCAGCTCCATTGGCTGCAACAGAGAAAGTCTGATAGTATTGAGTCTTAAGAAGAACTTACTCTACTTCTCAGTTGATTTATGAGCTCAGTAAACAGTTTCCTGATGAGTTTCTGGTCTCAGTCTCTAGTTTCAGTCTTCTTCCATACAGCATGATGTTCATTTAGTAACTGATGGTCCCATTGAGAGTAAAACAGACCATAAAGCAGGGTATGCTTTAGGGCGGGGCTACCTTGTGATTGACAGCTCATTCTCAGTGAGTCCATCCAGCTGATTTTACAGTATGTTTGCAAAAGTTTAGAAACTCTATTACATAATTTTTCCACCAGTGAGGTCTAGGGTTGGGTATCGGTTGGGTTTTATCCGATACCGGTGCCTACTCTGTATTTTTTAAACGGTTCCGGTGCTTAAACGGTTCTCGAACCGGTACTTAAAAAAACGAAACCACACACACTTTGTCAAAAAACAATACCCTTTTATTTCTAGGGCCAAATTGAACACAATATTAAGTTAAAACATAGCACACGCTGTCACTCACGCTGTTGAATGGCAACGGTGTTTGCTAGCCTACTTGACATGGCATTAAATTACTAGATTTACCCGAAGAGGAAAGGCTGCTGTCATCATCAACATCTGTGATGTCCACCACCGAACTGGCGGGCTGGGAGTCTCTTCAATTTGTCCGGCGAGGCCGACACTGGCTACGGCTGCTGAAGTGCTTGGCCTTGTGTCACGTAGGTTATCAAACACGGTGCATTGTCCGTCTTTAAATAAACTCCACGTGTCGCCAGATGTTTCATCAAATTCGAACTGTTACCTCCCTTGCATGCAATTGTTTTATGGCATCTGTTGCATGTCGCAGAATCTGCATCCTTAGATGTGAAATGCAGCCAAACCTCGGAGCGTTTTGCCTTCGGCATCTTCATTGATCCTCTCACTATCAGTTCTGATCAACAAGTGTGCTGAGTAGCGGCACTGACGTCACGCAAGTTGACACCGGAACACCGGGGGCGGTAAAAAAAAAAAGTCAGGCACCGAAATGTTCGTTCTTATTCCGTCTAGTTACTACCGTTTACGTCGGAACCGGTGCCCTATTGGTACCGCGTTTCGGTACCCAACCCTAGTGAGGTCTGACAAATGTATTTTTCAGCTGCTCAGAGTTTATCTGGGTTACATTTCTTTAATTATCAAATATAAGCGATCCTAACTTTTCCAACTACATAACCACTGCACTCTATAGACTGAGAGTCATTGTCACACCTCCAGTTCCCTCTCCTCGATGTCACTGAGTCATTAAATGGGTTTTTGTTAGATGCCTGAATGCAATAATCCCAAATCCATCTGGATGCTAGCCATCTTAGCTTAGCATGCTAACAATTGTTTATCAGAACTATGAACTAAGTAAAGCTGAGGCCGATCATTATTGATTATATGATCAGTCATTAGAGGTTGAGCCATCAGCGTTATATTATCAATTAATGTTTGTAATGGAGCCACACCACTACTGTTCCTTAAAAAAGACTATTATTTTATATTGTATTTATTAGTGTGAAGGAGTTGTAAAATGTGTAACAAGGTTTGCACAAAAATAACAAAAGAACACAACCAACGCATCATAATACTTTTAATAATTGATTAATCATTTCAGTTTGTTCTCCCAGTTTTTCTAATGGAAGGATTATCCAGTATTCATTATAAACCGAGTCCCTTTTAACTGTAGTTCAGACAAAATAAACAATTGGAAGACAAGAAATGCATCACCGCACAGACATTTGTCTTTATTTCCTGGCATTTAACTGAACAATTACACAGTAAATCAAAAGATAACTTATAGATTATGTTAGTGCCTTAGATCTGTGTGCTTGAAGGATTTTTCTTATTGTTAATAAATCCCATGAAAAGAGCAACTCTAACAGCTCGTTGGTCCGTCTGTCCGAGCTCATTGGTTCCTACTGAAGACACAAACAGCTCAGTAGTTTCCTAAAACAGACGCTGTAGTTTCTAGCAAATGTTACTCAATCAGGAGGAAATGGTGCATTTGTTTGGGACTATTTTAAGCGGCAGATTAGTCCACATTTGGTGCTCAGGCAGCAGGACAGTGTGTGTGTGAGTCAAAATAAACTTTATTTGAATTTGAATTTAAGGTATAAATACATTCTAATCCAGTTCAGGACAGTTCTTGCTCATGTCTGAGTCTAATACGATAATAAATACAATAAATATTGTAATGATGAAAAGGAAAATGTATTTTTTAGTCAAATAACATCAGAACATTTTGGGGGAGGAGGACCCCCAACAGATGACCAAATGACCAATGTGACCAAAAAAAGTGTTTGTATGTGTTTGAACCAGCTTCAGTCATGTTTTAAATACATATGTTTTTAATATCCCTTTAGCAGTGGCACAAAAGTAGTAATTTCAGGTAGATATTTATTTAATTATAACCTTTTTACGAACATCCTGCTTTTCATTGTAATGAAGGAACCCAGTGCAACAGTGTGGCTCACTCATGTGTTTTTAATTTATTTTATTTTAGTAACACAAAAACAAAAACAAGACCAACACAAGAACTAGAACATATAATGAATAAATAACTCAAATTAAAAAAGAAAATTAAGGGAAAGCTTCCTGTTGTAGTCTCATTGTAATATTAAACATTGCAGTATTCAGTATGTTAAAGTATTCCAGCCACGTTCAGAAATTAAGTTCTGCTCTTTATTCCTATTAACGTCCTTTTCCAGATCCAACTGATGCTTCAAAAACATTTTAAACCATTCAATGTTTAATTGTTGTCTCTTTGAAGCTCTAAATACATGTTCTCTTCATCGTAAAGACGATATTGTTCAGATCTTTTCCTTCTACATCATCTTTAAATCACCAAGCATTATGGACAAACAGAAAACTGTGAATTAATGGTTAATTAACAGTTGTCGGGCAGCAGTGGAGCTCAGTGGCACAGAGGAGGGAGATATATCGGACTGTGATACAAACACAAGGCATTTATTTGTGTTTTAGCCTTTTGTTGACAATAATTGAGAACAATTTGTTGAAGACCATCGAATATTACCGTCCGTACTCCTATAACAAGCAGCTGAGGAATCGTCTCTCTTATCTGTCACATCCCTCCTCTCTCTCTCTCTCTCTCTCTCTCTCTCTCTCTCTCTCTCTCCCGTCCCCCTCTCGTTCCTCCTCTGCTAACTCAGTCTGCGATGGTGCTTAAAATTGCTAATGTTCCCTCACCCACCCTTTTTTGCATCATCTCTTCTCCTTTTTCAAGTTTAAGTGACACATCTGAAACTCTGTGAGCAGCGAGCGTTGGGGAAGTCAGTTTGACTTCATTTAAGAGCCGGGTAGCTAAGAACAAAGCCTCTTGCTTTAGCATAGACTAAAAAGACTGTGTGTGTGTGTGTGTGTGTGTGTGTGTGTGTGTGTTTTCTGCAGGTGTCCATTGTGACAGTGTGTGCGAGGAAGGACGCTGGGGACCCAACTGCTCCTACAGTTGCACCTGTGAGAACGGAGGCTCCTGCTCTCCAGAGGACGGCACCTGTGTGTGCGCCTCCGGGTACCGCGGCACCAACTGCAGGCGAAGTAAAGACACATTCCACACACACACACACACACACACACACACACACACACACACACACACACACACACACTGTACTTCCTGCGATGCTAGCTGCAGTGCAGTGGTAGAAGAAGAGCAATGTCACGAGTGAAATATCATTGAATTGTGAGGTGTTAAAGTTCTGCTGGTGAACACAAACCTTAAAGAACCAGAGTGACGGGAGTGCGTTGTGTCATCGTTTTGGGTTTTCTTTGGTTATTTCCTGTTTTATTTTGTAAAAAAATCTTGTGTCTTGTTTCACTTCCTGCCTTTGTTTTCCTTTTTCCAGTTTTGATTGTTTGCGTTGCTGTTGATTATTTCCACCAGTGTGCGAACTATACGAGCAGTGTTACTTTATAAATGTAATCTGATACAGTTACTAATTACCTGTTCAAAGAGTCAGTAACCTAATCCAAGTATCACAATATTAAAGTAACTTGAGTACTTTCTGTTACTTTTGGATTGCCTCAACACCAAAGATGGAAATAAAGATGAGAAAAGAATTATCAATAAGACATATTGATGCAGGTTTATTCTATAAAACAACAGAACAATGTGAGTTTAGGAAAGAAGATGAAAATGCAGAAACTAAAACAAGTTGGCTTCAGTTTTTCTTTTCTACCAGCTGTAGAAATATCCAATCAGAGGCAGAGTTCGGTGGGGAGTAAGGCTGTTCATGTGGACAAAAATCAGAGGTCCATTTCAGGCACTGCTATTGCCAAAATCCATCTGAGCTTCACTCTCGCCCGGATCACTTAAGTAGTGTCTCAATGCAATTTGCTGCAATTTAAAAGTTTTTTTTTTCTGTAGATACAAGCTTCCACACATTAGGATATATTGGCACAGTTTTATTTCATACACACTTTTGGCCACAAACCATCAGGGATTTTGGTCTGAGGAAGGTTTATGACCGAAAGCTTGTGTGATTAGATAAAATGTGCAGATACTCGTGTTCAGAGGCTCTTTTTTTTTTTTTTATAATTACACGTGATTGTCTTTCCAGACCCGTAGAAACCCTCACAGCCAGGCGAACAATGTTCTGTTTACACTCAGTGTTGCTCACCAAAACTCATTGTGTGTATCCTTGAGATCTAAAAAATGTGCTGAATTCATTTCCTCCCTCATACATATGCAAAACTGCTTTTTCATGAAAGTTAGAAACCTGAATTGTTTACGTCTGTGTTTACAAGTTTGCAGTCGTTTTTCCTGCCTTCACTGTTGCATTGCTGCATATTTAGCACCTTGCTGCCATCTGTAGATCAGTGGTATAGTGTGAAACCACTGAAGAACAACAACAGTGACCGTAAACGCCATAAAGCATCGCTCTGTAGTGGTGGTCAGGAACTGCACAGGGAGCTCTCATTGTGAATGTGAAATCTTAATCTAATCTTCATGTATTGTCTATACTTGTCATTGTATCTGCCTCTGGTTTAACCTCCTTTTGTAAAGTGCTTTGTCATATTGTTAAGAAAAGTGCTATATAAATAAAGTTTATTATTATTATTATCTGCAAAAGAACCCAAAAGCCAAAGAAATGATCATAGAGGAGTAAAAAGTACAATTTCCCTCAGAAAGGTTGTGGAGAAAAGGTTGAACACGAACTCAGACAAATCAACTCGCTAACATTTTTTAAGCAGTTTATTTAATTATATTAGTTATTTAAATGCATTTAATGACACCAGTCAGCTTCTTTTATTTTTTTTGTATTAATATATCCGTAAACCGTGGTATGATTTCCTGCTAGGGATGATTTTGTTGGGGTTTTAACATTTGCATTTTATTGAGTTATAAATAAAGAACATACAAAAAAACATAATCAGAGAAACGAGGAGTGGATAAATCAATAAATATCAGTTTGTAATTGACTGATAAATTCACTCCTTTCCCGTCTCGGCCTGAACCTGCCATGTCTTTTCTCGATCCTGGAGTCAGAGTCCTGGTCGGAGCCGCTGTATTGGATCACATTGGTTCTGTATTCTCTGTAATCAAACTGGTCAAAATTAACCCTTAATTCACAGAGGGAGAAAATATTTTGTCTCTACAGTTTTTTTCCCTCTCACTCAGTGTTTAAAGACAATCAGGTGTCAGAAGGGTTTATTTTAAGGGAGGACTTTGGATCATCTACTGTACAGCCTGCTTGAGATAAAGTCAGAGGCTACTTGTTGATTTAGTCTGCAGTGTGAATCCAGTCTGACGGCGCGCCTTTCTGTTGATACGTGTATGTAACACACACCAGCTTCCCTCTGCTTCTCCCGGCATCAGGGTGATAAATTTAAGGGCTCTCGGTTCACAGTTTAGGCAATTATCTTAATTAGGAAAATCCTGTAGCGTGAGAGGAGCGGTAGAGCAGTCTGCACCGGCTTGTCTCACCACTTAGAGTAACATCAATTAAAGCAAATTAAAGGCCTCAGGAAGACGCATGAGGGAGGATCTGCGGTGGAAGGAAAACAAAGCAAAGCCAATACGGCCAACAGGTTGATCTCCGGGGGGGGGGGGGGGGGGCATGTTCTTCTGCCTGCACACACACACATTTATATATATAGGTATGGTGGACACGGACAATATTAAGCTTTCACATACGTGGAGTTTGCTTAAATTGGGAGTAAGTGGACCATGAAATCCATTATTATAATGATCAAAGAACTAATCAGAGAACTAATCAGAAAGTTTGGAAAGGGACTTCTCTCTCTCTCTCTCTCTCCACACACACACACACACACACACACACACACACACACACACACACACACACACTGGGCCTTTCTCATTTCTCTAATTTGTGCCTCCTCTCTCCTCGTCTCCTCCCTCTTCTCTCTTCTCTCCTCTCTCCTCTCTCCTCTCTCCTCGTCTCCTCCCTCTTCTCTCTTCTCTCCTCTCTCCTCTCTTCTCCGTCCTCCTGCCTGTGACCCGGAAATCAATCTCACTGCACCATCTTGAAGGACGTCTCAATTCCTAAAATGCATCTGGAGGAGGGATGAGGGGAGAGGAGAGAGGAATAAGAAGGGAGGAGGAAGGAGGGAGGAGAGCGGAGAGAGGATAGAGGAGAGAGGAAAAAGGAGGGAGGAGAGAGGAAAGACGATAGAGGAGGGAGGAGAGAGAAGAGAGGAGACGAGGAGGCAGAAATTAGAGAAATGAGAAAGGCCCAGTGTGTGAGAGGAGAGAGGAGGTAGGGAGGAGCCCGGGTTAAACACCAAACAGACAAATGAAAAACGAAATACATTTTGAGAATTAATACACTGCATACACGCACATAAAATAAAAATAAAAATAAATAAGCCACAACAGTTATATGTGATACTAATACTGTTACTCTCTCAAGTTCCCCGGAGAGGCATCAACCGTTGGACCGAGGAAAGATGTCCGCCAGTGAAAGGATCCATTGCGATTCATTCAGTGACATTAATTCCAGTTTACGGTGTTATATTGATGCTGAATTGTTGACATATGGCGCCTGTTTTCATGCGTTTTCTATACACTGTCTTTACGGACACATAGGAACTGTTAAAATGGGATATTTCTGAAAGGGAGTTTGACTCAGTTTCCCCTGAAAGTACAGAACACAATGAAACTAAACTGAGCAGCTTTATTGTTCATGATTGAAAAGACAAAGAAAATGACATCCTTGACACCCAGTTAACCTTATTTATTTTTTATATTCTAGATTTCTATTATATTTGTTTCATAATATTTTTATTTTATTGTATTTTTTATCCTTTGCATTATATTTCCCCCTGTGCTGCTGTGTCTAATCTGAATTTCTCCTTCGAGCGATTAATAAAGGGACATCTTATCTCACTGTGAATTGAATTAAAAGTAAATATTTAATAGTTGAGCAGAACAGTGTTCATTGTTATGCTCAGAGATCATAAGGATGTCTTATTTTGTTAAATGCCTGTGGCCTCCTCTCTCCTTGGTGGAGGAGGAGGCGAGGATGTACAAACTGGGATATGAGAAAGGCCTTGTGTGTTCACCCACATCCTAACAGTGTGTGTGTGTGTGTGTGTGTGTGTGTGTGGTTCTCTGCAGCGTGTTCGCCTGGTTTCTACGGCCACCGTTGCAGCCAGTCGTGTCCTCAGTGTATCCACAGCGATGGCGCGTGCCACCACGTCAGTGGCCATTGTGAGTGTCTCTCTGGCTTCTTCGGCTCGCTGTGCAATCAGGGTAAGTCGTAGCTCCAGCTGCTCTCCCCGCGCTCTCTCCTTGAACTCCTCAGTGCTCAGAGTTTGAACAGGATAAAGCCTTCAAGATCTTGTTTGACTCAAAGTTTATGTGCAAAGACCAAAGTGAGAGTGAAAAGTGTGACGTGGTTAAAAAAAAAAACATCTCAGATTAACTCCAGTGACTTCCCCTTCAGAGGATTCCTCAGATACAGATTGTTTTAGAAAATGGTCAAAATAAAAGCAGCAGAGAGATCCTGACTTTCAGTCTCTGGTTTGGGTCAAGCTCCAAAAACATGAATCCTGCATTTCCCATAATGCAATTTCATAGTTCCTTTCTCTCGTTAGGGCTTCCCAAAGGTGGCCCGACATGAAGTTCAATTTGGCCATGAGGCATTTTAATATATACAAATCACTGCTGATGCTATTTTATTTATTGTGAGGTACAATAAGGGACTCCTGCACACTGTAAGAAAAAGTTTAACAAACTCATTATTTCTGGGCAACTGCCTTCACTAAATTAATAAAGTTCTAATCATGATAGTTTTACTTTTTTTACTTCTTACTTTTTTTCTTTAGAAAAACTTGAATCTTTTAATGTTAGAAAGAAACATTTTTTTCATATATTTCATATTTTAAAGGTCCAATGTGTAGGATTTAGTTGCAGACTGCAACCCCCTCACTCCACCCTTCCCTTCTGAGCACAAAGGAGAAGCTACGGAGGCCGGGAAATGTTTTCAACATGTAGAAACATGGTGGTTCAACATGGCAGCCTCTTTTAAAGAGGACCCGCTCCCTCTGAACAGATTATTTTAAGATAAAAAAAAAAACTTAAAAAATACCTTATATACTTAATATTATATTACATTTCTGCTGATAGATCAGGTCCCCAGGTTGGGAACCGCTGATATATAAGAGAACAAACTGCCCAGCGTCCTCAGTGTAAATGACACCGACGCTCGCTCCATTAATAAATAAATCCACAAACAAACCAATCGAACTGCGACATGAAATGATGCAGAACGCTCCGACTGACTCTGAAAGTTTTTTTGAATACATTATTAAAAAGAGCTGCGGCCGAAGCCTTGACAGCAGCACCATGGGCTCCAACCTGATATTGTACAGTCTGACACAGATTGTGACCACCGTATTTTTAGACCCGTCTCACACAGGGTGACATGCAGTGCAGTCGCTGTTTTGCGTGCATCGTTTCCGGGTTCAGCTTTCTTTTTTTTTAGTTTTTGGCCAGAAAAGTTTGGTGCAGGATTCATTTTATTCACATTTCTTCATTTGATGCCATTTTGTAATGGCAGCCACTCCACAGCTGTCACAGCCTTCAGGAGCTGCTTTTTAACTCACAGTCGGGTTATTTAGCAACAGGACAGAACACAGCTGGTGTATGATTCAACCACTGCAGTCAGCCTCGTGACATCTTCATCTGCGCAACCTTTTATTGTTGTGAAACCCTGGATATTCTTATAAAGTGGAGGTTAGAACTGAAGCCCTGCATACAAAGCGAAGACTCAGAATGTCTACGTTGATGAAAGAAAGTCTAAAACCTTGAGCTCTTTCTGTGTCCTCTTTCTTTTTTTACAACTTCTCCCACCTCTTGGTTTTATCTGAATACTCTTTGTGTCAGCTCCTCCTGTACATCATTATTGCAGTACGGTTTAGCTCCTCTGCAGGTCAAACAGGTGTTAATTCTCCAATGAAGGCAGTTGGTCCAAGGTTCGTTGCCAAGTCGAATTTTAAATAGCGACACAGGAGGAGTGTGCTGTGAAATATTCATCATCATTAAACATGAAGACGGCCTTAGTTATGCCCTGTCCTACATTAGCCATTCTGCTGGCCGCTGCATCTTTGAGCAGGCCCCATAGAAAACTGGGCGAGCCTGGATAAATCAGATGTCCAGCACGGAGGCTTTTAACCGCCTGAAGAGCAAGTCACGCTCCATCCCCGTTCTCTCCATGTTTGATACCCTTTTGTACGAGCTAATGACGTTATTGACTGGTGAACCCTCAAAGGGGCTGTTGGGTCTCAGAAGAAAACAGCTCGTTGTGTGTGAGAATGAACCGTTAACTGAGACGAAAAGGGTTTTCACCACTTAAATGAAGAAATCACATTTGTTTTTCAGGATTTACACAACAGGAATGTCCATTTAGGAAGGAGACAGGGTTTCTATGGGAGATTCTGTCATTGTAATGAAAAACAAAAAAAATATTGACTTAATGTCACAGTCATTATTTTGAGATGCTATGTCATCATTTTTAGATGTTAAGACATTATTTTGAGATGTTAAGTCATATTTTTAGATGCTAAGTCATTATTTTAACTAACAGAATCTTTTTTCCCGTCACATTGGGCATTACTCCTCCAGCAGACAACCAAAATAAATAAGGATTCATTAACTGACTTATTCAAATCGTGAGCCCTTAGGAGGCTTTACCTGAAAATTAATAAAACATAAAATTAAATTCACCCTGACACGCGTCAAGATAGTCATAACCGCTGCTCTCCAGAAATACCTTTATAGCTGCATACATCAGTTGTAAGGCAGCACACACAGGAACTCTGCCTTCTCTGGTAATTATAGTAAGTAGTAGTTTCTTTTTAATTTAAATGTCATAAGTAATTATTCCATAAATCCTCCTTCCATTGTTCTTTATAAATATTTAAAGGTTATATGCACGCAATTCCACTAGAAGTCGCACTAGAGCACCAGCATCACAGACCAAAGCAAGTGAGCGTTACAGCCAACCAGTTGACAAAACCAGCGATTTTACCAAACAGATAATCATAAAACACACTTCAAACTGGACTGAAACTAAATAAAAATCACTAAAACTGTTAGTTTCACAATCAACGACTCTGCTTTGGTTGAAATGAACCCTTAATGGCTGCTGTGTAACGTTAACTAATCCTCTGGGACAAATGTGCCATCAGAGTTTATCCACTAACAGTTGTTTGTTCCACTAACAGTAGTTGTTTCTGCCACTGACAGACTCAGGTTGTTATTGTCAGTGTCTGACAGCATTATGGAAAGGATCCCTGCAGAGATAGACCTTTAGTTTAACCACAAACAGCCGTAATATCACTATCACTCTCCACCAGACTCCAGAGACAAAAACACTCATTTTACCTTCAGATCATCGTAACTTCATTCAAAGTGGACAGAAACAGAATAAAACTCATTAAAATCGTCTCTGTTAGTGTTTCCAACAATCACCAACTCTGGTTAAGTCGTCCTTCTGACAATCTCAGATTTAGTATATTGCTAACAGAATTCCAAAGTGCTGCACAGGTTATAAATACAGATAAAATAAACAACATACACATATAGTGATGCAAATTATTGCTCGGTAGCAGGGAAAGCAAGTCAGTAAAATGAGTTGTGAAAAGGAAAATGATCTAAGTGGTCCAGAGGTGGAATAAGGATATAAGAGTTTGGAGGCCTTGTATGGGCTAAGTTGTGTATATAAGTATAAAAGTATAAGAATGTTTTACACTGGGATGCTATAATAGCATGTTAGCTTTAAGCTGAAGGTAAAGTTGATTTCATAATCCGGACCAAAGTGTTGTAATGGCGTCACTGTTAGTGCGTCTGAGAAATGAATAATTAAAAGTTAACAGAAGATCATCAGGGAGCGGCTGAACAGTCCCTCTCTAATTATAAACCCCTTTTATTCATACGTCCTGTACGTACCGTGTACTTTGATCCAAACTTTACAGACTAATAGTCAGACGTTGGTAAGTGTTACATAAGTGCGGACTTCATTAAAGCTTTCATAATGATCATTATTGCGCTCATATTCACAGTAAAGAATCCCCGTCTGGGTTTTAGTGAAACAATGCACGGCTGGCTAATGGCTATTATAAGCACACACAGGCAGAAGCTATTAATGAAGACAATACGTTTTATGTAACAGGTGGAAAATGTAGTAAAATGCAAATGTGTGCAGAATGTTATAACAATGAATATCTGCATAGCTCGTGTATATATAATGTGTTTATTTTATACCCAAACATTAACATTTGGAAGAAATTCATAAAAGTGTAATAAGGCTGTAATGTTTTATGAAGATTACTTCAAGCACTCGCTGTATCTCGTATTGTGCAGTCCTGATTATGCAATGCAAACAACTCATTAAACATTAAGGTAAGGTCAAACTAAATGCCAGCTCGTAATATTTCTAACTTTGAGCTGTTTAAAATGTCATATGATATTTCCTCTCTCTGTCCTGTCCGGGGAGTAACACTGCGGAGCTTGTTTAGGAAGTTTTATAAGATACTTTTAACTTAATAAACTCACATATTTAACGCTGCGTTGATGTGTAAACGCAGTAGCAGCAGCGCGTGCGCTCATGTTGACTGGAAGTAATCAGAAACCCCAGAGCACATTAATATATTATCAGGTTGTCAGACGCTACAGAATCTGTGTCTCAGTGGTTTTATCAGTGAAACTGCATTTAGTGAAATCTGAATATTAAAAAAAAGTAGAAAGAAAGAAATATTACATCCTTAAGCAACAGGATGAGGATGCATTTCCCTAAAATGATTAACAGACTAACTTTTAGCTTCCTCCAGCTCCTTTTTTTTATTTCTGTTTACTGGAGCTCACATTAGAGACAATCAGATTATTCACTTCTTTAAACATCAGTTGGTAAAGCAAACAACCTATAAACTGAAAAACTAATTTCACATTCAATTAATGAATTAATGCTGATTAACGTGAGTTTAGATCTGACAGAAGCTGAAAAGGAGCTTTTGATTTTCATTGAATCATATTTTCTTTTAAACTTAATTTATTTGCATTTTATTCTCCTTAAAACATATTTTGTTAACATCTTGTGACCCTTCTTGTCTCACACTTATTTCTAATTGTATTATTGTAATTATGTTTTAATGTTCATTAAATACCTAACCAAA